GGCTGGTCCTGGAGAACAGCAGGCAAAGCTTGCAGCCTCAAGGGCGAGCGACACCTCCCCTAGCTGTTCCAGCTGTCCCCATTGCCCTCCAGGCTTTTTAAACAACCTGGCCCCTAGCATGACTATGAAATCTCTGTTCTTCATCAAGTTATTTGCTTTCTGTTTAAAATCCCCACCAGGAGGTTGCACAGGATTCCTCTCCTGCTCAGCCTGTTTTGCTGTCTTGCTCTGTGTGAACAAGCAGCTGTAACGCTTCATACCAGTGGTGTTCCTTAGTGCGGTGGGTCTCATTTTCTCTGTGCAACCCCAAACTGCTCTGGGCCCTTATGCATGGAGGTCACCACAGAAATAGGAACTATTAACCTGAAAGTGGTGTTTGCGAAGCCCTGTCATGCGCTAGCTAACCTGCATTCAACCCATTAGCTGGCAAGGGATGTGGAAGGAATGCAGGTCAAAGACAATTCTGCATATAACAAGAGTGATGAAATGTTCTCTCTCCCTCCCCCAATAAATGGAAAATAAGCACTAGGAAAGGGACACAATACTGTTATTTTTAATGATGTTCCCAGAGCCTCACCAGAGTGTTTCTAACAGGTTCCTGGGGGCAAGAGGAAGTTCAGGTCACTCCCACCTGCTCACAACACAGATGAAGAGCATGCCCTTGGCAATGACTCATAGCAAGACACGGGAACTAGTAAAAACAAGCGAGAGCTGCAGCAGGGTGCAGCGGTCAGGGATCAGGCAGTCCCGCAGATTCCCTAGGGCCTGTTTTGGTGCCAAAGCTCCATGTTCCCAGCAGTGCATCATGCAAGGCTCAGCACACCACAGCAATGAGTGCAACTGGCTCCTGCCAGGGCATCCTGAGGATGCAGCTCCTCACGCGGTGTCTGTTGTGGTGATACCCCAGGTTGCTGGTGGTGGCAGCCTGTGAAGTGCTCTCAGCCCTCCAAACGCAGTCCACTTCGGCTCAGCAGTATAGCTCGGTGCTGAGAGCACGATGGGAGTTCACGGCTTCAGAGCTGGTGTGCAGAAGAGCAGAAGATGCTCTCAGTGAACAAGTTCTGCCTCCCCGCAGCTGCATTCTGGCTACAGCCAACACAAAGTTAGTGGCAGGGACCTGCAGTCAGGGCCAAGAAGAGAGGGGACTGTCCCTACAGTAACACTGGGCCTGGGTACGATAACCTTGCAGCCTGGCATCTTCGTGTGCCTCTGCTCTTTTGCTGTCGTTTCACAATCAGTTTTAACTGGTGCAATATACTCCCCTCCCTGCTGTTCCTTCCGTTGACCCACATATGGATGGGTGGTAGCACAAGGCAAGGAACTGATTTGGATAAACCCAAATTGCAGAGGATCACAGCTTTCCACGCTGATCAGCAGAGCCTGCTTGCTCACACATGCCGAACCTTGCCTTCTCTTTGCCACAATGGAGAAGGATGAGCCAATTACTGCCTTTCAGTGAGTAGTTAAAAATTCTGCGTCTGAAGAGTGGTTCAAATGGGGAGGTGAAAAGGCAGACGGGGCCAAGCAGGCCTTTGATGTTCAGCTGTTTAGTTACAAGGGATATACAGAGACCTTTGCATCTGAACACAGCTGGACTTGAACAGTGGGGGACAGCATGCCTGGGCTGTACCCACACGCAGAGCCTCTCAGCTCCCCCTTTCCTGATCAGGTGTACCCAGCACAGCTCCCTTGCCCATACAGTTCTGATTCCCGAGCACCTTTGGATGTGCTGGAGCTCTGGGTCCTGATGCAGGCTGGGCCGGTTTGTTTGCAGGCTGAATTGTTTCAGGACCGATCTGAGGTTTTTCTACATCCTGGACAAGAGGAAGGGACGACACACAGTTTTGGTGACATTTCGTACAGCTCCCAAAGCAGCCTGGTTTCATTCCTGGCAGAAAAGCTGCTCCTGGCCTGGAGGTGGTACTGGAAGCTGCAGGACGAGTGAGGCTGCTCTGAGCACATGCCATCACCCCCACTGCAGCCTGCAAGTTTGAGATATCTCTAATTAGCATCCAGGAGGGAGTTGCAGTGCTCCATGGGTTTCCCTAGCTAAGAGGAGGTCTGGACGCGACCCACAGGCTCACCCTTTTCTTCCTCTCTCCTCTGTATGTTCCAAAATGCTTCTGTCCCTCCAGGCAGGCCACGTGCATGGGCACGCGGGACTCTCAGCTGACAATTGCTCACAGCAGTTGATCCTGTCTCCAGGTCATGGCTGTAAGGAAGCTGGAGTTTCCACTTCTCCGAGAGCAGTTGCCCATTTCATATGAGGCAATCTGGACTCATCAGCTTTGGAAAGAAAAAGACATTTTTTTCAAGACTGATTTAATTGCCAAAACGTCTACAGGGGAGTGGCAGCCTTTCACTGGGGTCAGGGTTCGCTCCTGAAATCCTTGGCAGGAAAAGAAGCAGCTCTCTATGTCTCCAGGGCTATTTCTCTGTGCTGCGATGACCGCAGTATGCCATTAGGAAAACATCCAATCAGCGGCACACTATCTTTCTGATTTTATGGCCCTGCTGTGCTAAAGCTGTGGGTCTCCTGCTCAGCCAGCACAGCCAGGCTGATTTGGAGCTGACATAATCACAAGTGCCAAATTAGGGCACAAGAGAAGGTGCTTCTGGACAGCTCTGTGCTTTTGCTGGAAGCTGAAGACAGACTGTCCCACACACAGAGTTAGAGCTACCACCCCACCCCACAGCTGGCTGGGTGAACCAACTTAGGGTGTTGTGCTGGTGGCTGCAGCATTTTTGATTTGAACCAGACTTACCATTGCACTGAATCCCAGCCGGACCTTCCTCTGAACCTGTGCTGTGCTGAGCCCAGGCACACTAACCAGGGAGCTGTCCCCTGTTTGTGGCTCTGCACTTGCATGGTCCCAGGCAGAGGGAAGGAAGGGATCATGGCAACATTAGCGCCGTTCCTCCTCCTTTGACTTGGTTGCTGGGAGCAGGAGGCAGCTCAGCCACTGCACGAGCAGTCCCTGACCTGTACGTAAGGAACTGCTTCCCAGGGGTGCTTTCCTCCCATCCATCCTCGCAGGGGCCTGGCTTTGAGAGTCTGGCCCTGGTACTCCTACTCCATCTCCCATCACCAGATCCTAGTTTGCGTTGTGCAGTGAATAATAGCCAAGAGATGCGCTGGACCAGTGCTGGGCACAGTCTCCAGCGCTGGGGATTTATTCACTGGCTCAAACAGGCTAAGCCCAGAAATAAGTAAATGTTCTTGTTGACGTGAGCAGACTTTATGCAGCGCCGCAGCAGAGATGCCAGATGATGCTGTCCGTGGGGTCCCACAGCTGCTGTGCCATTGCTTAGCACTTACTCCTTCCTCTTCAGACAGAAACATGTCACTAGGACTAGCGCTGGCTTTGGGCATTTTGCCAAGTTTCCTCCCGGAAACCCAAGCCTTTCTCTCCCCACATGGATGCCTCCTGCTGATCCCTCAGCAGTGTGAGGACAGGACTTGCACTGAGTTTTGATGGGCCAGTATGTTCTCTACAGACGTCGCTAATTCATGGCTAATCAACTAATTGTGCATGTGTGGCATCTGCATCTTAATCAGCAGAAGCCTTCCAGAGTTTATTAGCATTTTAATAGCACTGAATGCAGTGTGATATAAAATTACTTTTCCTTAACAGTACAGTTAGGGTAATTTCTTGGTTGCTGATGGTCTTACATTTAAAATCCCCACAGACTTTATATTCTGCCCAGTCTAATTTTGCTACATGATCTGAATTTCTGTAACCGTGGCCTGACCGATGCGTACGTGCACTCTGCGCCCCTGAAAGATCTTTTTAGCAGCACCACATCCCTGCTCTGGAGCGGTCTTTCCATCAGGGCCCAGGCAAAGGGTCCGTTTCCAGTGCGGCGGCGGCAGGTGGCTTGCAGCGGTGATGACCTGCTACTCCTGACGTCTTGTTCCTGAGGTCAGTGGCGGCGCTGAGACGTGGCGATGACGGTTACGCAGGAAACCCTTTGAGAGGGGACGGGGATGTGAGCACGGGCTCGCAAAAGTGCTTCCCCTACTTTGCCTTTGCTCTTTTCTGTGTGCGGAGGGCCTAGGAGACTTGAGTCTGGGGAAGGGGGTTACGAAGTTTACTTTTCGGCTTATTTTTCAAGCTCTTAGGAACACGCTGCCTGGTGTCCCGGGGGCCTGGCGGGAAGGCGAGCTGTGAGCCCGGATCTGCTCGCAGAGGACGATGCCAAATCCTTCAGGGAGACTTGCTTTGCCTGGCCTGTTCCCCGCCTGGTAAGCAGCCGTTACAAAAATAAAGCAAGGGCTGACCAGGGTGCGGAAAACCCCCGTTCCCTTTCCACTGATGCACGTTTCT